GGGGGATATGGGGAGGGGGTACGGTAATGAATCATTATTCGAAAATCAGGAATGTTATATAAAAAACTGTTTACTCAGAATTATATTCACACACACACACACACACACACACATATACACACACAATTGTATTTACAACTCCACCCTTTCTACGAGACCGGCTCTGGTCTCAAAAATGTGTGTTTTAAATATATTTACATAAAGTTATAAGAAAAGTAAAGTGATTTGAATGAACTGGAGTTATGCTCCACTACGAGTCGTATAGGGTAAGTTATGACAAGGAACTGAAGCTTTGTGCTCGCACATTGCGAGACTTGCGGGTTAATTACAAGTGATGCATATTTGTAAAAAATTGATACTATGCGAGAAATATAATAATTCCGTGTTTATATATAAGAAAAAAAAATGAGTTTGCCTTAAAAAAGGGAAAAAAGAAAAAAAGGGAAAGAAAAAGAAAAAAAAAGGAGAGATACCCATGAAGTGAGGAAGGGATACCAGCGTTATAACTTCCACCATGGCTGTCACAGTAGCAATGAGCCGCAATAAAACGTAATACAAAAAAAACGAAAGGCGCAGAAAAATTTGTACGAATTATAAGCAGTGTTCCTGCACACAAACATCGTGATATGCTAAAGCAAAGAAGAAAAATAACAAGACACTAAGGCATTTCGTTTGATGTGGCGAGTTTCTGATATGTGTGTATGGATTGTGTCAGGAGCGCGTCAGCTTTACGATCCTTGAATCCGATCGAGAAATTCCTTATTCATGGACCAATGCTCCTCCGAAATAAAGCCATTGCCCGGGGCAATCAGGAGGCCTGAGTGGTCGCGCTGGAATCTGAAATTCTCTTGCACTGCTTCAAGGAAGGCAGGCGTCACAATTGGCGTAAAGCGAGTCGCTGTGCCGATAAAATGCCACCAAATGTCACTTCCCTGAAGCAAAGAAAAATTACCAACCACAAACAGGCCATCCCTGGCTCGGGACAAGGGCACAGTTACACGGTGGGGATCAAAAAAGAAACTGAAGTCCTGATCCTCAGTTTGCTCGCTAATGTC